TTCCTTGTGAGCAGAGAAAAAGTGTGGGCTTTGGGATCCAGCAGACCTTGTTCTGGTTCTGGCCTTTATACTCTCATACGGTTGCTGTGAAGAGTACGTAAAATAATGTGTGTAGAGTTCCTGTCTTAGGGCTTGGGCGCAATGTGAAAACTCAGTATATTCTGTCCTATTCTACCTTCTTTATAATTATTTGTCAGATCTCTCCCATTTCTAAACCTGTGGCCCTAGACTGTGTTCAGTCTTTTAATATTGCTTGCCAGGACAGTTTCATCAGCTTTTAAAGGGCCAATTGCAAACTTCTCCTTGACGGCCCGTAGAATTCTTTTTTTCAAAAAAAATTTTTTTAATCCTCACCCAAGGACATTTTTTCATTGTTTTCAAAGAGAGAGAGGAAGGGAAAGAGAAACATCAATGCAAGAGAGAAGTATCAATCAGTTACCTCCCGTATGTGCTGGGACCACTGGGGATCATATGCGCCTAGACTGGGAATCAAACCTGCAACCCAGGTAATTGCTCTGAGCGGGAATCGAACCTGCAACCTTTCAGGTACGAAATGACACTCCAACCAACTGAGGCCACCAAGGCCTAGAATTTTTTCTTAAAACACAGATTCTCTTATGAGACTTCTCCAGCAGTACAGCCTTCCGGTAGCTCCCTGTTGCCAGTAGATTGAAGTCATTTGAATGGTATGAGTGTATCTGTCACAATTTCATCCTCACTTCCTTGTCTACTACAGCCCTCTAGCCTAGCTTCCCTCCTGTCACATTCTGGCTCATTTCTGTGCCTTCGTGCCTTAGCCTTTATTTTCGGTCTCTGCAATGCCTGGCCCCTCTCCTATACCTACAGGGCTCCTGTCGTCTTTCAAGGCCTGTTTCAAATGTCACCACTTTTGCAAAGTCTTGTCTGATTCCTCCAAGAGTTAAGAACTGCCTCCACTGTCTCCACCATACTGTGTACCTTATACAGAGCTAGCTTACCAGAGTGCCTCTCGACTATTTGTTTATTATGCCTCCCCTCCATCTCTGAGTTCTTTAATGACAGAGACAGTGCATTTGCACCTTTGTTCTCAGAGTTTAAAATATTTGTTTTGTATAAAGCCCATACTCAATATAAAATAAGCTCAATATGTTTTTATGGGTATGAATGAATTAATGAATGAACAAATAATATGTGAACAACTCATAGCTTTAAAGTTGTTGCCAAGGACTTCGATCTTACATTTCACATCCCAGTTGAAAAGGTGCCAGGGTAGCCCTTCTGTGATGTTGCACACAGAGTAAGTCTTCTAAGATAATAGGATTATTGAGCAACTTTGCATTTATTCTGTTCTCTTCTTATTTTGTTTCTACAAAGAATATTACTCTTAAACTCATAGGAAATGTGTTTGTGAGTGCCTGTCAGGTAATGAAAATAATAAACAAGTAATTCCAATATAATGGTTATGGAAAGATATGAAATGTTTTTGTCTACCTAGTCAATTCTTTCCTTTCTGGGGAATGTACCTTCTTTCTTTTAGAAATTGCTTCCCCTGCCCACTACATCAACTACCACCATGGAACTGGAGGGAGGGCTGCCTGTCACAGTGGGGAGGTAGGTAGGGGACCCATACCTATCTAGTCAGAACATTTCACTGCAATTTTAAAAAACTGAAGCTGGAAGAGCCCTTTTCCTCTGCCAAAAAGCATTGCAATACAGTAATAATGACATCAGATTGTCATTACTTTAATCAAGTAAGAACCTCTGCCGTAAGACAGAGTTTCTGTGTTTGTTTACAGCTGTGTCCCCACCATTGAGAACTGGGCAAGGTATAGAAAGTTCTCAACAAACACTTGTTAAAGGAATAAACAACTGCTGGGAATATATGAGCTAAGGCTGCCAGCAGCCATGAAACCAGCCACGGTCACAGGAACCAGGTAGAGAATATGTACAAAGAAGCAAAGATGTAGACATGGCGCCCTGCCAGGTTCCAGTGGCCCAGTTCTGGTCTCTGAGGTTCTTGGAGCTTCTGTGGTTCCTGCCTTCCATTAACCCCCTTTGCCGGCTTGTGTTAAATTTGAGGTCTTGTCACTTCCAACTAAGAAAGTGACCCTCAGTCCTACTGGATTCCTGACTAATAATCTTGTCTTCAACTTCTACTTTTTGAAGTCTCAGTTCCTGTTGTCCCTTTTGAAGTTACATGACTGTCCCGTCTATTATTGCTCCAACTCATGACAGACCAAAGTAAGGGGTCAAGCTGTTCTTTTGCCCAGATTTTTTCAGTGGTGTCCCCTTGCCTTATGAGAAAGTCCAAAGTCCCTGAATCAGTGAGCAATTTGGCCTCTACTCAGCCAGCATTTTTTTGTTTTTTAATCATTCTGCATTCCAACAAACTTTTTTTTTAATTACCTAAACATGCCTTGCCTTCTCTGACTTCCATTCCCTTGCAGATACCATTGCCTTTACCAGGAGCACTGTGACGCTGACCTTAACAGTTTCTTATCCTTAAAAATTCAGCACAGGCGTCTTTCGGTCCAGGAAGGCTTCTGACACTCCCCTTGTCTCACCTGGTGAGGGCGCCGTCCCTGGGCCTTCACCACCTCTGCTCAGGGTGCCGCATACTGCCCTGTGCTTTTAACTTTTTAATTTGTTCTCTTTAAATAAGAGGAATGTAACCCCATAGAAAAACAGTGATACAGAGAAGTGTAAAAAAAAAAAAAAGTGAATCATCATGTACCACCACCTTCCAATAGAGCTTCTGCCAGACAATTTTTTTTGTCAAAATTTCAGAAAATTTATTTATGCATATATCAATATATTGTACATACATATAATACACTTTTTACTTATAAATAAAATAATACTAAAGACACTGTTCTGCATCTCACTCCCTTCACGTATATGAGAAATATTTCCATCCCAATACATAGGTATATACTTTAATATTTGTATTGGACAAATGGTATTCCATTGTAGCAATAAAAGATAACTTTATTTAGTGAATTTCATATTGATGAGTATTTCAGTTATTCTCAGATTTTTTAAGGCTACTTTTAGAGGTATATCTATGGGATAAGTACTTAGCAGTGTTTCAAAGGATATTTAGAAAGTCTGAGACATTGCACTCCAAAAAAGTTTGTAGTAATTTAAATTCCTACTAATATACACAATTTTTTTCTTACTTTGGCATTTGTTTTCCAATTCTAAGTATATCAAACATTCTAATATTTGCCTGTTTGATGAAATATTTTGTTGCATTTTAAAATTTTTGTGTGAGATCATCATCTTTTCATATCTTTGAGTTCGTTTGTATTTATCTGTTTCTGAGAACTCCCTGTTTTTTTGTTATTTGCTCCCTCTTTTTTAATTTGGAAAAATTCTTTTAAGTAAAAAAATTAACTCTTTATCTGTCATCTTTGTTCTGCATATTTTTACCAATGTATTATCTTTGAACTTTGGATATGGATTTTTTAAAAATTTTTGGCCATATAAATATATTCTAAAGCCCTCAAATGTAGTATACTACCTTTATGGATTCTGGGTACATTGTGTGTTGCATGTGTGTTTTCTTGGCAGGAAATCCAGACCTGGGATTTAAAAGAGAAAAATCACCCTTCATCCCAAAGGGTTACCTTAAGAGCCAGGGAGACATGGAAATGTATAAGGAATTTTATTACAAAATGCTCCTGTTCTGGGGCCTAAGGAGATTGTCTCAGCTCCTGATAGCTGGCAGGGGGAAGAGGGCAGGGCAGTCTCAATCAAGGTTCCTTAACTTAATTGGGGTTGGGTTTCACCTCCAGCCTTGGGAGAAGCTGTCTGTCTCTAACCATCTCCTTGTCAACCCGCCGATCTCACCCAGCCTGCTAGCCAAGACATGTGAGAAGGTCGGTCCCTAACCACGCAGAGCCACAGTTCTGATTCATACTCTATGATTTAAAAGAAAGTTCACTCCTGGATTCTACTTGTATGTTCTTTCCGCATCATGAAATAAAAATAAATAAATAAAGATTGTCATTTGGAGAGGTCCAGGCAAGCTAAGAAGGAGAGGCTGGCTCAAGCTGGTGGTCTTCCATCTCCCTCCACAAAGTCATAACTTACAAAACACATACCACCTTGGGCACATTGCTCGCAACGTGTTGGGGACTGTTAGAAACTACAGTGCTGTGACTCTGGCATGGCCATTCCTGTTGACTTTTCAGCCCTTTTATCAGGAACCACAGGTGAAGTTAAGGATAGCTTCCCACATAGCACGTGTCCGGGGTGCTCATTGTGAGTTATGAGTCACGTGTCTTGTAGTTTTCATATTTATAGTTAGTTGGGGCCCATGCTGGCCTCATTGCTGCACTGCTGAGAGAGAATGATGGAATTAAAAGTAGGATTGGGAGGGGATTAGGTGTGGGAAGCCAGTGTGAAGAAAATGACCACAGCAAGCCCCTAAAGAAAACCTGAGCCACAGAGTTGGCCAGTAAGTCACCTCAGGGGAAGATACAAGACTGGTACAGAGGCAGAGGCAGAATCTGTGGTCAAATCCAAGGTCAAAGCTACAAAGAGTTAATAGAGAAACAAAGCACAAAAGTCAAGATACAAGGGCAGTCAGTCCAGATGAATTCTTGTGGAAGGCAGGACGGCCTCTTTTAATAGCTCCAGTGCCTTGCCCCTTGGTCCTGACTCCTAATTTTGAAGCAAGGTGGCAAACCTCAAGCTCAGAACTAGAACAACAGCTAACAATACTGAGGCTGGAGCAGCAGCTGTGCCGATACTGACTGCTTCTGCCACCAGAGCACAAGTCCAGGAGGACAGGAGTGGCCCTGAAGTGTCAGTGCCCAGGTGTGTGGGAACAGCTACTAGGGAGCCCCCAGGCATGTGGTTCTCCGGGCTCTGTGTCCCCGCCCTCTGCTTCTATTCCTTGGTCTTACTCCTACCCTTGGCTTTAGCTATTGAATTATATTTTTCCTCACTTAAATATTGGTTTAACTTTTCCTTTTTGATTTTTAACTGTGTTTTAAAAATTACAAGAGTATTGCAAGCAATGATCGGTGGCAGGTGATCAAAACTGTCTGTTAAATTTCAGCTAGCTATAGCAACAAAATTGAATCTTTTCCAGTGCTCTCTCCTCTATGAGACAAGCCATTATATAGACTTAGACAGTGTTTTAAATAATTACAAAAGTGATGAATGATCATTATAGAATATTCACATAACATAAAAGTATGTAAAGTAAAACGTGAAGTCTCTTTTTTATACTCTACTCCCATTCCCCAGTGGACATCAATGTTAAAAAAAAAATAATACTTGTGTATGTTTAGAATTTATATGTATATGCACGCACACACACACATATATGTTTTTTTAAACATATGGTCACACTATTTATACTGAACTGCAGCTTGTTTTTCTTCACTCAATTACATATTACAGACACCCGTTCCATTTTAACATACAGTTGACCCTTGAACAACACAGGTTTGAATTGGGCAGGCCCACGTATACACAGATTTTTTTCAATAAATACCATAAATGTATCTTCTCTTCCTTATAATTTTCTTAATAACAGTTTTCTTGACTCTAACTTACTTTATTGTAAGACTACAGCATATAACAGACACAACATATGAAGTATATGTTAATTGACTATTTTTGTTATCAATAAGACTTCTGGTCAACAGTAGGCTATTAGTAGCTAAGCTCTGGAGAATCAAAAGTCATATGTGGATTTTTAACTGCAGGTGGGGTTGGTGCCCCTAACCCCCGTGTTGTTCAAGGGTTATATGTATGGACTGCTATGTGTATCTATTTCATTTTTGTTAATGGCTACACAGTAGTCATAATGAGAATATGTGAAATGTATTAATCACCCATCTTTTAATTTTCTATTGCAAATAATGTTGCCTAGAACACTCTAGTACAGGCATTTTTGTCAACCCATAGTGTTTCTGTAGGATAATTCCTAGGAGGGAACAGCTGAGTCAACAGGTATGCACATTTAAAATTTGATAGGTACCGCCCAATTGCCCTTTGTCCCAGTTTGCAATTTCACTCAGAGTGTGTGTGAGACCCTCTCCCCCAACCACATCATCACTGGATATTATTGTCTTATTTCACAAACCAGAGTCTGATATGAGGTACACTCTAGGCTTTGATAGTTAACGGGTTCTCTGAGCTTGGCACAAGTCTTGTGGTCATGAATACTACTCTGGCTGGCTAGAGACTCCTGGTAAAGACTGCCTGGGTTCTTCTTCCTTCTACTTTCAAATCTTTGTTCACTGGGGCTTATAAAATTTTGATATTACCAATTCCATTGTACAATTTACCTAGTGTCTTGCCCTCCTTGTTTCATTTAATCCTCACAAAGTGTCTAGTGGTCATGTAGGGAGGAAATTTATATTTGGGGGACTCAGAGCAGTGAATGACTTTCTGAAGTTCTCATGGTTGATAAAGGAAAGAACTGGGACATGAACACAAGTCTCCCATGTTCAAACCCCACATTCCAGCCCCCATTCTGCCTCGGCCTCTAGAACACAGAGCCACCAGTGCAGTGCCCTTAATTAATACCTTTCTACCCTTTTGGAATGTTTCTCTAGAGAAATTTATGTTTGCTGGTTGGTTGGATTTGGGGCTGCTGCAATTTGTGACTTAGGGGTATCAATTTTGTCCATAAAAATGTTTTTGCAATTTGAATATTCTGGTATGTGGCCCGAGGTGACCCAGGGCAACATCTCCAGGAGATGATAACTGGCAGGGTGCCAGGAGGCCTCGTGGTGACCTTATCTAGTAAGTGATAGTGTTGGAATTGGAACCAGATCCGTCTGACGCCAAAGCCGAAGCCTTTTTACATTTACTCTATGCACCACCTCATATAGAGCAAGATGCTCAGGGCAGAAGGTCAACGCATTCTTTCTTTACAGGCAAATTATACGGAAGCCAGATTCACAGAAGGTTTAGTGCTGTGCATGGAATCAGACAGAACAAGAAGAGTTTAGGATCTTAAGGAGCTAATTTCGGTTCAAGTAGCCGAAGGCAAGCTTACTCACTAGGGGGGTCACACACTCTAACACCAACAGAGGCTTGAAAAAGCTGAACCCAGATGAGTAAAGCAGGTCAGGGAGCAGTGATGATAGGGAAGAGTGGAGACTGCGGCAAACTGGAGGATGTGCCTTTCTAAAGGGAGCAGCTGCTGCTGTAGGGCTCCCGCCCATGGTTGCCAGTGTGGTTAACTCCGGTCTTCCCCATTTTTCAGTAAAAGCGAGATGCCTGTATTTTTCTAGGAGAAAAACTTTGACAACTTTTAAAAATACTATGAGTCAACACAGTATGGGCCAAGCCAAATGTGTCTATGGGCCAGGCTTGGCCTATCAGGTGCCAGCACTGGCCTTTCACTGTAAGAAACCCTTTACCATGGAAACCACAATGCTCAAAGTCATTGATCTAAAGGGTTAAGATCAGTGCTCTTCAGATTTTCCTTTTACTCCTTTACAGTCTGTTTACAGTCATTCTCCAGGTAGAACTGAATATGCTTCCTCTTATAAATTATCCTTACATTTCAGCCATGTCTCCTTGGAAGGGTTCCTGACTCAGCTTTGGGTTGGATTGGCCCTTACGTAGTCAACCCTTTGCATTACAATGACTGCCATTCTTTTTTTTTGGAGTTACCATTATTCTTATGTTCTGTGGTTAATCCCTGCCAGCGAGTGTGAATTTTACTAATTCAACTCCCAGGGGACAATCCAAATTTTCGAGTCCTCCAGGGGCTCTTCACTCCTGCCATATCGAAGGGACAAAAAAAAAAACAAAAACCCAACCACGTGTTTTCACTTTTTTTTAAACATTAAAAATTGTTTTAAAATACATAAATATAGCTTCCCTGACTTACAGATTTGTTTTTAGTGAGTGATTATTTCCCCAAACAAATTTGGGTGAGTTACAGCTTGTAGGAGAGGAAGGAAGAAATAAGGATGCTCTTCTAGGTACCAAAATAAACAAAAGGACTTGGAATGGATTTTACTTCAAAATGAAGACTAAATTTCCCTTCTAGATCTCAGTAATGTTGGAATTGGCCCTCCTCCCCACCTCACAACGCACAGCAGCCCCAGGACCTGCTAAAACATCACTGGAAAGGGGAGAGGAGAGAAAGCTTCCAGAAATGACAGGCAACTCTGCCCTTTAGGCACATGATGCCGATCAGAACATGACACCAATGCATTAAGCATATTTCCAGAAGAAATGAGCCTGTGGATTTAGTAGCTTTAGGGCACGGGGACTCCATCAGCATCTTCAAATAATCATGCCCATAACCAACAGTTAACAAATGATAGTCTTTCATAAGAGAACTATTGACAAGACACTAATTCAAGATTTACTAATCAGACTTCCCTGCCAGACATTACCTTGCCTTTAGTGTTGAGACATGACATGTAGTGACACATTACAAAATAAATGACATTTATTTTGCCAGGACCTAAATAGGCAGGAATGTAAAATAACCCCATCTTGCCTCCCACCCCCACAGTCTTGCACAGTGGTAATGATGCAACCCCCAAAAGCTGACATCTTATTAAGTTTCTGAATAGCTCTCAATCACCGTAAAGATTCACTTACCGTCTTCTGAAATGTATATCTGTTGTTTTTATGGTAAGCCAATTCTTTGAAAGTTGGTAATCTGAAATACAAGGCAGCCTTAGCAAGAAGATTTCCCATATTTCTCCTTGACTTTCCCACCAGAATACACAATACCATCATAGGATTTCTACTCCTTAATCTTAGATGGTGAAAAGCATAATTTAATAGGCATGGGTTCAAATCCTGTCCACTGAAACCTATAATCTTGAGCAAGTTCATTAACTCTCTGTGCACAGTTATCTCAACGGAAAATCAAGAATAAAAATACCTACATCATGAGGGTATTTGTGATGGGTATTGAATGAAATCATGTATAATCATGGCATGCCATACAGTACTCCTTTAATATGTGGTGACGGCTAATGTCTCCTTTGACCTAATCACCTGTTTAGAAGACAATCAATGGCAATGAGACATATAAAAATGCATACTGCTCTGAAGGAAACTGCAACCGCCGATGAAACACTGAGAAATCAATGTAAGGCCATTTAGAGGAAAGGGCCAAGTGACCAGCACATGATATCACTTTAGAGACTGAGAGACTTGTGACCACGAATGCACAGCATTCTTGCTCCTCCATTCTTGGACAGAGCTGGGACAGCAGGAGCCCAAGCTCCATGCCTCCCCATCCAACCTGCGCCCGGCAGGCTGAGGCATCACAGCCAGGCAGCGGGTGGTGCACACTCATCTCCTACTCCTTTGGAACTTCGGCCAGGAATGTTTGCTGTCACTATCACATGCGACGAGGACAGCAACATTCTCCTGCAGAAGACAACCCTTTGTCCACCCGCCTCCCTCTGCCGCTGCCAGCCAGCAGGAAGTGGGGAGAGGGCCTGGCGCCCCTCTTCTCTTGGTCCAATTTCACACATTGGTTTTGCAGCATTAATAAATTGGTTACATTTGCCCTGCATTTGGCAGGCGAAGTTTCTAATAACACTCTGATCCCTTCGGAGGACATGAATCACTGGCATGTGGGGGGCTCTGGTTACCTCCCCCCGACTCTCTGCGGCTAAAGGCCCTGCACATTAGCAGGGGTCAGGCGCTTGCCTGGGCCGGGGCAGAGTCCAGGACAAGGGCCATGGCTTCGAGGCACTGTCACGGAGCTCAAAGATTTTCCCTCAGAGGGAGAACAGATAACTCCAGGCCCGGGCAATGTGCAGCTTTCTTCAGCTGTCAATCCTACCTGGTTTGCATAGAGATTGAGAAAATGTGTGAGATTTTACCACAAGAATCAGTCCAGAGAATTCAAGGGGGGTGGTGGTGGGTGGAGAGGGGATGGGAGAGAAAAAAATGTGTGAGGCAGATGTCTGCGAGTTCCGTGCCGCCCCACACGGCTTCCTTTGTGGAGCCAGGCACTCTGGGGACAGCCAGCCTGATTGAGGACAGTGTATAATGATCTAGTTTCTCTGAGGCAGCTTTTCTTCTTGCCATGGAATTAGGTGCACAAAAACTCCAGGGGCAAGGAAAGCTCTGCGGCTGCGAAGAGGCCCAGGATCAGATCAGCCTTGGAGGGTCAAGAAGAAGCAAGAAATA